CCCTTAAACCGCTGCACTAGGTGTGGGACCGATGTCCTGTTAGTGTACTGGACCTCTGAGGTTACAGCCGTGACTTAGTACAGTCTGCTTTTAGAGGCTGGGGGAAAAGAGTACATAGGGGTGAAGCTTACTGGAGCTGCAGGCAGATTAGGAGGGGTTACCTCGCCTTTTGGAAGGATCAGGAGAGGGTTACTTGGTTGAGGGGCTCCAAAGGAAACCAGACCTGGCTGTGCTGGGTTTGAAGCTCTGACGGGGGTGACTTCAACCCCAGGAAGGGCTGGGCTAGAAACGCAGGCTGTTGTTTGGTGCTGAAGACACCTGAAACAGAAAAGTGAAGAGGTAGAGGTGAGGCACTGTTGAGGAAAAGGTCCAGAGGAGACACTTGTGTGTCCAGCTGTGGCCCAGAGAATTTGCTGCCTGACAGCAGAGGAGAGGTGGCACATCACTGCTGGTGGTGCGCAACCACAGAAATGGTCTTGAAGTCTGTGGGGAATGAAGGGGTCTCTGGGTGCTTCTCGGGTGAGATTTCAGAGAATCGGCTTCAGGAGTGCTCGAGGTGGCTATAAACGACCCAAACAGCCAGGAACAAGGCAAATGGTAATGACTGCAGTCTTCTGAAGGGAGACGTGGGCGATATAGCTGATCTGCAGGCTGCTGTGTAATCCCTCAGCTACTTTACTGCCTCAGGCCTGGGAGATGGCAAATGATATTTTAATTTTTATATATACAGTGATGGCCCTGGGTGCTTTGGAGTGAGATGTCGGGGTTACAGCGGATAATTCTGTGAAAATAGCAGTTCAGCTCGGAAGTTGTGAAAGCTAATTCCATGCCTGCATGTGAGAAGACAAATCAGTCTTTGCCTGGAAGTGCTTGAGCCCTTAACTCGATTCGGAGCTCTGCAACGCAGTTACAGGAGGACGCTGAGGAAGGAAGGGGTGGAAGTGTGAGCTGGTGGGGCCATGGATCACTCTGTCTGAGTAGGGCTTACAGGACAGGCTTTGAAGAGTGACAGATGTCTGAAAGCCTGAGTAATGGCTTGATTCCTTGTTATGACAGAGCAGACTTGCAGGAGAGGATAGTAGTTTTACCGTGGATCTGAAGTCCCTTAAGAAAGTGTCACCTGAAATGTCGAGGTGTGGTGTTGGCACAGCGGTGTGTCGAATCCAGCTGCACCAAAACCAGAGGGCCTGATCCAAGAGCTGAAAGGAGGGTGCTGTAAGTACATGTCATGGTCATCTCGAGCTCTATCCTACTTGAATACTCAGCAGAAAAAGGCTGTCGTTCTGACAAGCTGTTGTGTTCTCGCACGAGGCAGCTTTCTGGGAACTGTGACCTGGCCATAATTTACCAGCTTTTGCGGGGGAGGAGAAAGAACAAAAGTGTTGTGGTAATTCAAGTGCTGCCTTGCCAAATGCTGGCTCAGTCCGCTTCTTAAAGTGTGTGAACTGCTTGGAAAATTGCTGGAACAGGCAAATGTACCCCTCAAAAGCAATCGCTGGGTTGAGGCTGTGTGCTGCTGTTAGTCAGCATCTGGAGGAGCTCGTCGGGAGCGTCTGGGCTCTAGGTGCAGGTCTCTCTCCCTTTCGGCAGGCAGCTGGGGAAGAGGCACGGCAGAAGACTCGCAGCCGGCGTCTCGTCGACATGCAGCATGTGGGATCTCTGGCAGCCGCCCCTGCCGAGGCGCTGCTGTTGCTGCCAGGGGCCAAATCCAGCTCGATCTGAACTTGTGTTAGGAAATAGGAACTTGAGCCTTTGGAGAGCTTGGGGCTTGCTCAGCAGTGGGTCCACTTGTTAGTCACTGTGCTACTGGGACAGCTCTTCTGGCAGGGGACTTGGGAAACCACGGGATTAGTCCGTTCTTAACTGAGAAGCCTGACATGTGAACAATCCTATTAAAAACTCCCAAACCCCCTTTGCGGAGGCTCGGTCACCGGCCCGACGGCTGGAGGAGGACAGGCTCGCGTAAGGCACTGGTACGCCGTGGGATGCATTAAGTCAGGGTTTATAAATCCGGTCCAATTTCTGGAAAATATGTTCTGTTCTGTCTGCTTGTATGCTCAGAGAATCAGAAGAGTTTAGTTCCCGCAGTTTGCGGCTGGCCTTCCCCATTAAAATTAATTCCAAGTGTTATATAAACATGGCCCTTATTCCAGTTGCAACATAATGTTGTGCTGGCTCTTGTGCTGTGGAGTTGGGGGGGCAACCCCCTCATCGAGCAGGACAAAATGCTCTGGCCAAGCAGCTCATGGGAGCTTGCTCAGAGCTGTTGAGGGAGAGGCTGCAAGGCAAAGTGCGCAGCTTGTGTGGCTCTGGTCTAAAATGCGATGCGGCTCCAGACCTCCTGGAAGTGAATGGTACAGCAAAGTCTACTTTTTGTGTCACAGGTATTGAGCATGAAGTGACCTGACAGCAAGGTGGCTTCTTGCAGCCTCAAAAGTATGCGTGGAGTTGTGGGTCACCTTGACACCAAAAGGAGCTGGTGGTTTTGCTGTAGCAGAGTTGGAGTTGAGGAAACAAGCTGAAAGCTTTGGACGCTTCTCTGCTGAAGTAAGACGCGGTAGGATAGGCAAGAGCTGCTTCCTCTCCAAGGTCCTGTATAGCTGCAAAACAACATCACATGTCTTTTTGGGCAGGCTTAGTTTTCATTAGAGCTCTGTACCATTACAGAGAACTGAAAGTAGGAGACGAATGTAGCTGCTGCAGTCCCCTGTGCCTTCCCTTGCAGTCTGATTTTATGGGTGCAATACTCTTCCCAGGACCCTTTCTCTTATATTCTGCTGAATTTTGCTCTGTGTTTTCTCTAGCCTCCCTAAAAGCAAACTAGTGAAGCCCTGATCTGACAGCAGAACTTAATTTCCACTCGGACTCCAAAGCTCATCATCTGAGAGCTTTCAAAAGGGGGACTGAAACTCATTAAGACGTAATTCCAGTAGGTTTCCCTTCCGTAACTATGTTTTAGCTTTCGAAAATCAAGCAATTGCACAACAGATGGGTGAGAACTCTTTGCATGTGGGGTGCTGCCCGTGAGCTGGGCTTTTTGCAGGATATAAGAAGTGATTACTGTCAATAACAGTCCTATGCAGGCTGCATGGATGTGAGGGGCATTCTGAATTTTGTCATGATCCAATGTTTGAGATTTTTTTTTTTTTTTTTTTTTTGACAAGGGTCAAGTTGAAAACTCTGCTGTCTTGAGTTATCTGGACCATGTTTTCCCACCTCGAAAGCATGAGCATATGTTGATAATGTTTTGGTAGAATAAACCACAGCTGTTTAGCTGTAGCATAGTCTGGGGAGCAGAGATCTAAGTGAAGTTTCTGCTTTGCTTCAGCCACCATGTGTGGTATTGGGCAAGTGGCTCTCCTTGCTGCATTCAGGATTCCTCACTAAAAGTAACAGTAGCACCAAACTCTCCTGTAAACCACTCGGAAACATGACAGAAACTGAGCGCTATTTAAGTCTCTGGCCTTTTTTCTCCCCTCTCTTTAACCACCATCTGTTGCCTGTGAGACTTAGCAGTGGTAACATCTTCGTAACCAAAGAGTACTGGGTCAGAAACATCTTTGCTAGACCCCCTTGGAAATACCCAGTAGAGTTGAAGTCAGGTTGGAAGCTGTTTGACCCTTCCACCCCTGGGACTGAGGACAGTGTCGTGCTGTACAGTACGAGCTCAGTTTGGAGCCCGATGCAGAGGATGCTCTCCAGCTCATGCCTGTAGCTGGGTGTAATGTCAAAAAATCAGACCCCTCAAGCGAGGCTGAGTCCTTGCTCTGACCTCGGTGCCGGGGATGCTCGTGCCGTTGCGCTGAGGACTCGTATGGTTCAGTGGAAGGGAAAGGCAGCCTCAGTGCTCCTGCTTTAGAGCAACCAGGGAGAAATGTCTTTTTTTTGTTTTGTTTTCTCTGGACAGTGTGTTCACATCTGGTTTGACTAAACTCTTCCAGCTACTCTCCTTTCCCCATAAAGGTCTTGAATCCCTGGGAGGGTGCTTGCCTAACTGGCCCTCTGAGGTGAAGCTGAAGGGAGATGAACATTATGTACCAGTGCAACTAGTAGAGCTTTGAGGAGTAAGATTATATGACGTTCCTCAGTTCTGGATTCAGTTTTTCCATAGAGACACTTAAATGCTTTTGGCTCAAATAGGGATTTTATCTTGACAGAGCTCAGCATGTTGTGGTTGCTTGTTGGCCGGGGCTGCAGCTTGGTTGGGCACCTGACCTGTAGCAAGGGTAACAGAGGAAACAAAGGTTTCCTCTGCTTGAAACCGGAGGGGGCAAAGGCTTCTGAGCATGTTCCCCCATCCTGGGCAGGGGTCACCTACCATACGAGACAGACTTAAATGGCCTTCCTCTTCACCAGCCCCCATCTACCTCTTAATGCCTGACTTTTCTTTACTGGTGCAATTAGTTGGACTGACTTGATGACGTAATGCCTAGCTGCTTTATAATTTCAAGTTTGCTGTTTGTGTCTCTTTGGCTTTGAGAGCTTTTCAGACGCCTCCACATCACTAGTATCTGAGGAAACTTGCTTGTGGGTGCAGATAGGTTCTTGGTCCTGATTGCTTCAGAGCAGCCTGCAACCAGAGCCCGTTTGGCTAGAGGAAGTGCTTAAAGTTGTTTGTTGGTTTTTTTTTTTTCTTTTCCCCTGGATTTCTAGGAAGTATTTGCTAGAAAATGGGTAACTTGTCATCTTGATCGAGCACAGTGAACAGCTGGCGCAGGTGTGTGCTCAGTTACATAGATAGTGTCACAGTTTCTTCTTTAAGATGGGGCTAGGCTGATATGGTGAAACACTGATCTTCCACTGCGTTTGGATTGTCCATGGTAAAACTGAGCACAAATATAAGCATATGACTTGACACATGGGTTTTGTCTAGGTGATCTTTCGGAGAAGAGAATGCCTAGAGAAGTGCTGAGGAACGGCTCTCTTAGGTATGCCGCCCCCTAAGCAAAACCCAAACCCAACACAAACCCTGTAGAGTGGAATTACTCTTTCTTTTTCAGACTTGAAACTGCACCTCCAGAGCACAGACTATGGGAACTTCCTGGCCAACGAAGCCTCCCCGCTCACTGTCTCCGTCATAGACGACAAGCTGAAAGAGAAGATGGTGGTGGAGTTTCGTCACATGAGGAACCACGCGTATGAGCCCCTAGCAAGTTTTCTGGACTTCATCACGTGAGTACCAGCTGTTCACGGACAGCATTTGGAACGTTGGTCTTCTTCCAGACTTGAGGGCTCTCAGACCAGCTTTCCACACTCAGCCCTCTAGCTGCTGTGTTTTCTGCAGCTTCTGGAAGGAAACTGTTCTGGTTGTATCTGGAGGTTTTAAACCAACAGCGCAGTATCACTATGTTGCTCCCAGGTGTGCTCGTGCTTCATTGGCACAGTTACTTGGCTGCTTTCCATTGCAGAATTGGTTCGGTCTCTCTTGGAACCGTCACTTACCCTTGTCCCTTGTGTTAAATGTTCCTGGGCTTTTTAAAATGTGATCCTGCTGCAAAACAAACGCATGCCATGCGTGTGCACGATAGCAGTTGCCTGCTAGTTCTGCCCCACCGAGGTCAATCAGCCTTCGTCAGGGCTGCTGTGATCCTGCCATCCCACCCCAGAGGCTGTAAGCCTTCCACTGACCCCATCGCAAACTAGTTCAGGGAGCTGAGCTGGCCAAAAACTGAACAACTCTTCTCTTTTGGGGTTAATCTTTGACTGATTTGTTTTTCTCTTCCAGCGTAAGGGGATCTGACAAACGCCAGCACTAGGGGAAGGGAGGGCCTAGGATGTGCAGCAGGGAAAGACAGGTCTGTGGCAGCCTTCGGCATGTCTCTGTCAGTGCAGGAAAAGACATGGGGTGTGTGCGCTCCCACAGCAGGCTCAGCTGATGCGAAAAGCTTGAAATAGCACAGCGTTTGTGCAAGTATCTTCTCCTAAAGGTTTTGCACAACCCTCTGCTTCCCGGTGTGCTGCTCTTGTTTTAATCGGTAATACAATGGAATTGCTAGCCTCGGTGAGATACCAGTATACCAGTTGTGCTAGTTTGCATCTGAAGCATGCAAGTAAAACTGCCTTTTTTCTTTTCCTTTGCCTCCGTTCCTGTAAGCTCTAGTTTGGCTTGCAAAGTGCATAGCCAGTGACCTTCTCTAACCAGTAAGGGGATATCTTATGGGCAAAAGTGAATTTCTGGTTCAGTAGAATGTGACTTTAAGTTGCATCTCTGAGAAGAAGATTGTACTCTGTTCTCGAGTAGGATAGTTAATACATCAGTGTTCGTTTATTTGGTGTAGTGAGGTTGGGCTCATTGCAGACACTCCGGCAAGCAGTGTTTGATGTAGCATTTTTGGCAGTTGTGTGTGCGTTATCTTGCTTTCCACCTAGAGATTTTTTGAATAATGCAGGCTTATGTGGAAACGTCTTTGTGATCGATTCAAAGATCTTAAATTTTGGCCTATCTGTGGCATCTCCTGCGTGTGCAAATATTGATTAAAGACCTGTCTCTTGCCACGTTCCTTCCTGTTCTGTCCTTTCTGTGTCCGGACAGTAACACTCTCATTTTTCTATCTTAGTGGCTCATATCTGTTATTTTTTGGGTCACTATGCTAAAGCTGCCTTCCTACTTTCTAAGAAATAGTTTTTTCTTATATGCTTGTTGCTAAAACTCATGGACGTTTCATATTTGGCTCCAGATATGGAGCAAGAAGTGACAAGTCATCAGCAAGACATTACTAAGCCCTCGTTTTGCAGCAGCATTTGCAATGAATGAAGCAGTTTCTGTTTTACCATCTTAGTTGTATGGAACAATCTCTTTGATTCTCTCAACTTTCAAAACACCTCTTTGCCAATCTTTACTTTGTTGTAAAGATGTCAGTACTGTTTGAGCCTGGCAGTATTAGGTAGTTTGCCTTCCACTGATGCTTTTCCTGTGCTGCTCTACAGGTTTATGGAAATGTCTAGTCTCTATGGAAGTATCCTAGTAATCACTAATGGTCTCTTCTTTTAGCTTATGTCATGTCTGTTTAAAGGCAAGAGTCTGGGCAGGACACATGAGTACCTTGCAGACTTTAAAACCTTGCTGTTCCCTAACTGTCCCGCTTTGAAAACCAGTGTGGGGAACAGATGAACTGAAAGGTCTCAGACAATGCCTGCCCTGATTACACGCTGCATGACTTGGTAGGAAGGCTGCGAATAGCTGTGGAAATGCAGTTTCCTGTTACACCAGTCCTGCTGACTTTTATCCAGTGTCTCCATCCAGCTGGAGTTGTGCAGAAGACCTTAAACATCTCATGTAATCTGATAGGCTGGTTCTCACAGCTGTTTGAATGACTTAACTGTAAAACTCGTGTTTTGCCCTCAACTTGATTTAACTTTGATCTTGTTCTGCTTCTGTCTCTGTGATTTTGATGAGTTCTCTACAGCAAAACACAATTCTGTGTAGATACCTGTATCTCTTGCCTACTGCGTAATCTCGTCTCAAATATACTGGTTACATTCAGCACAGGATGTTTCTTCCCTGAGTTGTCTTCACTCTCATTTCTTCTTTTCCTTTTTCCCCACAAGATTTGCTTTAATGCCACTGTCTGTGGTGCTGCCTAGAGGAAGGCAGAAGACGAACCAGGAGAAATGATGTTTTGGTACATGAAGTATCTCCACTCCCACGTGGAGCTTTTTGTGCTGGCAGACTTCTAATGACACTACAGATGACTTAAAACAAAATAACGAGGACAGTGAAACACAAGGAATTTGGAGAGGGTGCTGCTTTTACCCAGTGGGTCTTAATGTTTTCTGTGGATAGTCCTAATATATTTAGTGACTGGGCTAGTAGAAAAGAGGGTAGACAAGATGTGACTTCTTGGGCTGCCTTTCAGGATGTGTTTTGTTCCCTGAAACAAAATTGGGGATATTGGGAAAATTTGCTTCACTGAAAGGGTTATGGAGCATTGGAAGAGGCTGTCCAGGGCAGTGGTGGAGTCCCCATCCCTGGAGGCCTTTAAAAGACAGGCAGACATGGTGCTGAGGGACATGGTTTAGTGGTAACTTGGCAGTGCTGGGTTGATGGTTGGACTCGATGATCTTAAAGGTCTCTTCCAACCAAACAGATTCGATGATTCTATCCTATGAAACTGTCCTGTGGGGTTGTAGTAGGTCATGGTTTGGGGCAAGGGGCAGAAGTTTCTGGGATTATTGTCCTGCTGACGTTGTGAAGCTTTCCATGCATGTCCCAAATAGTTGGAGTGGAGAACAGCTCTGTTTGGAGGCTGGCAGCGTGTACTTGTGCCAGTAGCCTTCATCTAACCCAGACTTGTGTGTGGGCAGCATCCTAGAGATGTTCGGCCAAAGGACGTTGGCAGTGCTGGGCATGTTGTGGCTGTGCACACAGAGGTACTGTGTCACCCCGCCTACTCTGAGTGACACTGGGACAAGCTTGTGCCCCTTGGTCTTCCACTCTGGCTGGGCACACAGATAGGCATAATGGGGTGATTTATCTTTGCCTTTTGAACACGACTATTTCTTACTCCGTTCTTTTAGGGTAGTTAATGAAACTTGAGCAGGAAATGGCAAAGATTGCTCCTGGTAGACAGCTCGGGGCAAGCGAGGCACCAGGTGGTCAGAAGAAGAAATTGTACTCAACTGAATGTGTCCATGTGCTAAAACTGTACAGGCTGAATTGAAATAGAAAATGGTAGAAAAATACGTAACGTTTGAGCAGGGTTGGCTTCTGCAGAAGGAAAGCTTGAGTTCACTGGGATTCTCTTGAGGGAGAGGCATTGGGTTGTAAACAGAGATTTTTAAAATCGAGTGGGATTGTAGGAGGTGTGTCTGGCTTACAAGGGAAGGAAATGTTTTGTAGCATGTCCAGTTCAGCTCTGAAACTCGCTGCTGCTGGATGTCTTTCTATGTACTAACATTTTTGGCCTCCTTAGAAGCACTGGATAACCTTGCACAAGACAGGCCCATTGAGGCCCATTAAACACTTGGGTACCATCTCATGGAGAGCAGCCAGGGTGTAGGTGCCAGGAGGTGGTAGATCAAGCATTTAAAAAGCAGTAAGGCTTTCTCCTTCATGCGTGTCCTGCTGGACTTTGAGGTGCTTTTGAGTTGATCCACAGGTGACTGTTGGAACTGTCCAGAGTTGCTTGGTTTTGGAGGGTGCTCAGATCTTGACCCAGGGCACATTGCCGAGAAGGTCTGGGCAACTGTCTCATCTTGGGAGCAGCTGTAGTCCTTGTCCCCTCTGATTGCTCCAGAGCCAACCTGCCAAAAACCTGTGTGGGATTATGCTTCGTGGTTTCTGTTGCCTCTTGTGAGTGGCCTTTGAACTCAGGTGAGGCCACAGGAAGGAGAAGCAGCAACGGGGACAGCGTGGGGGCTCTGGAGCACCAGGAGGATGTGTATTCTTGGTGTGCTGTCCTTGCCCAGCTCCATGGAGATGAAGCAGCGCTGCCTGTGACTTGCCGGAAGGTGGCACTCCAGCCCCATGGCTGCCTGTCCCCAGGTGCTCACCGTGCCATAGGTAAGTGTGGTCACCTATGGAGGTAGACAAGAGTTAACGTCTCTCCTGAGCTTAGGGGAGAGGGCAGTGTTTAAAAGCACACGAACACAACTGACCCAAACTTCTTTACAGTTGGGGTGACAGCAGTGGCACAGGCTGCCCAGGGAGGTTGTGGAGTCTCCTTCTCTGGAGATTTTTCAAAACCCGCCTGGATGCAGTCCTGAGTGATGTGCTCTGGGCAATCCTGCTTTAGCAGGGGAGTTGGACTAGATGATCTCTAGAGGTCCCTTCCAACTCTGAAAATTCTGTGATTCTGTGAAGAATGCAGCTAAGCAGCAACCCCAAAGCAAGGTCTTCATTCCCTAGGTCAGTTTCTGCCACTGACTTTTGTCCTGTTGTGCTTCTCTCCTGGCACCGCGCTGACTCTTTCCTGGCTCCTATCCTCTCCAGGAACTCTTCTGTGGCAAGTGTTGTGTTGTTAGCACCAAAATATTGAGGAAGTTGGCCGATTTCCCTTTTGTGTTTTTCAAGTGGAGGCTGTAGCTGGCGGCTTCTGCCACTGTGTATCATGGCAAGGAAAAGCTCAACTTGTTGAGCCTGCCATGGTCTCTACAAAACACCTGCTAGCTCTGCGTCTTGCTAGGCAGCTCCTCGCTGGAAGACTGCTGGTCCTTCCTTGTGTTTTTCAGCT